AAAAAAAAAAAAACCTCCCTCAGATAGCATGACGCTTAATCGCTTATTGTTTGTCTCCCTAGCTGGGACCAGGGCACAGGCCACCTGCTTTGTGGCTGTGTCCAGTGCCCAGCGGGCAGCCTGGCACAGGGTAGCTGCTTATTAAGTATTCTGGTGCTGAATGTCCGCTTCGGCCCAGTGGTTACAGGAGGGCCACCCTCGGGCACTACCTGCTTGTGCCTGGGTCTGTAGCATCAGAAATAGGTGCTCCTGAGGGGGGGGGGGCGGCAGGACAAGCCAGCCTGTATCCCAGAATCCTCGGGCTTTCCCTGCAGCCACCTCCAGGGACAGGCAGCTCATTCATCCACTAGCTATTGAGTGCCTACTGTATGCGGGAGGGCGAGGGCTGTGCTGTGCCATCACGGTCACATTTCATCTCTCGTTTATGCAGAAATGGCCTCAGCTGGGGAGCAGTAGAGCAGGTGTCAACTTGCACCTTTTTTTTTTTTTTGAGACAAGGACTTGCTCCGTTGCCTGGGTTGGGGTGCAGCGGCGTGATCTCGGCTCACTCCAGCCGCGGCCTCCTAGGCTTAGGCAATCCTTCCCGTTCTCAGCCTCCTGAGAAGCTGGGAGTACAGGTGTGCACCACCGCATCCAGCTAATTTTTAAATTTTTTGGAGGGATGGGGTCTTGCTATTTGCCCAGGCTGGTCTCAAACTCCTGGGCTAGCGGGGTGCGGTGGCTTACGTATGTAATCCCAGCACTTTGGGAGGCCGAGTTGGGCAGATCACAAGATCAGGAGTTTGATAACAGCGTGGCCAACATGGTGAAACCCTGTCTCTACTAAAAATAAAAAATTAGGCCTGGTGGCGCATGCCTGTAATCCAGGCACCTCGGGAGGCTGAGGCAGGAGAATTGCTTGAGCCCAGGAGGCGGAGGTTGCAGTGAGCCGAGATCCTGCCACTTCACTGCAGCCTGGACGGACGACAGAGCGAGACTGCATCTCAGAAACAAAAAACAGAAAGCAGGCTCCTGGCCTCAAGCTATCCTCCTGCCTCGGCTTCCCAGAGTGCTGGGATTGCAGTCCTGAGCCACTGTGCCGGGCCACACCTGCCCCTTATCATCAAAGGCTGGTATCGGGCTTGGCGGAGGGTGGATGGATGCTGGTGAGTTCACAGGAAGGTGGGGAAATGTCACCCAGGAGGCCCCGTCTCAGGGCCAGGCCTTTGCATTCTGTTTCTCTCCCTCTGATAACTTGGGAGGCCAACATTCCTCGTGTTTATGGAAGGGATAAGCTCAGGGTGAATTCTTCAAGGTCGTTGAACGGAGCAGCAGCTGGGAGCTCTCTCTTTTTTTTTTCTTTGTTTGTTTGGAGACAGAGACTCACTCTGTTACCCAGGCTGGAGCGCGCAGTGGCGCAAACTCGGCTCACTGCAACCTCCGCCCCCCCAGGGTTCAAGTTCAAGCGATTCTCCTGCCTCAGCCTCCCAAGTAGCTGGGATTACAGGCGCCTGCCACCACGCCGAGCTCATTTTTGTATTTTTTCGGAGACACGGGGTCTCACCATCTTGGCAGGTTTGTCTAGAGCTCCTGACCTTGTGATCCACCCGCTTCAGCCTCCCAAAGTGCTGGGATTATAGGTGTGAGCCACCATGCCTGGCCAGCTCTGTTTTTTGAGATGAAGTCTTGCTCCGTCACCCAGGCTGGAGTCCAGCGGTGTGATCTCAGCTCACTGCAACCTCTTCTCCCTGGGGTGCAAGCGATTCTCCTGCCTCAGACTCCCGAGTAGTTAGGCACCTGCTACCAGCCCCCGCTAATTTTTGAGTTTTTAGTAGAGATGGGGTTTTACCATGTTGGCCAGACTGGTCTCGAACTCCTGACCTCAGGTGCCTCCCAAAGTGCTGGGATTCCAGGCATGAGCCACCGCGTCCAGCCAATTTTTGTATTTTTTGTAGAGGTGAGGTCTTGCTATGTTGCCCAGGCTGGTCTCCAACTTCCGGGCCCAAATGATCCTCTCGCCTCGGCCTCCCACCCGCTGGGATGACAGGTGTGAGCCCCCGTGCCTGGCCTGCTGTGAAGTCTGCGCTCACTGATCTCTCACGTGCTCACACTGGCCTGGATTGAAATCAAGCTCTGGCAACACCACCATCCCTCAGAACCTGGGGAAAGTTAACTCTTCCCAGAGGAGAAAAAAGCTCACAGGGCCCAGAGCTCAGAGAGCATTGCGCCTCTCAAAAAGTCAAAAGTAAAAAAAATTAAAAAATAAAAAAATAAAAAAA